GGGCGTTTTTAGAATAACGATGCGCGATAACGATGCCAGGTTCGGATGCGCGCATCCGATGCGACTGGATGCCGTTACTGGATGCCGATGCCATCTAGTTTTTGGCAACGTTACCATAGCAACAGTGCCACAAACTTATCTGTGCCGGTGGAGATGTCGCTAGCGGTGAACAAATATGTCATAAAAATGTCAAAATGCTATGGATAAATTGTAGTTCAAATTTTTGCCACCGGCATCGCATTGATGCCGGCATCGATGCGGGCATCCGATGCGATTTATCTGATAACGATGCGCATCGATTTCAATAATATCTAAAAACGCCTATCTCTAGTTTGTTGTAAACCCCAATCTTAACTTTATTGTATGAAGACCCTTTAATTTTATTATTTGTTAAAGAGACGAGAGAAAATTTTACTTTTAACTCGTGAAAGAATTTTGACAGCCTGCTACTCATTACACTCAATTAGATACAGCCCGCTCGCTGATAAGATAGACATACGGAGGGACAGACAGTGGGGTCTTAGATATAATGTCCCGTTGGCACCCATTTGGCACGGAACCCTTAAAGCTGTATATATTGAAGCAAATATTTTTTTCTATCTAACGAAACCCTTGGATTATCCGCCGATCAAAATAGATGGAACGATATTTTTTAAACGTGATATTGTAACGTATGATGTTATAATAAGAACAGTGAACACAAACAAAAGATGAGGCAGTTTCGAAAGTGAAATACCCATTTGTTATTCGTTTATTGGCACATCTATAAAAAAACTATGACGAGAAGCTAAGATAAACATTATTAAAGCATATACATTTGTTAAAATTTAAATACGAAATACTGATGAACGGTTGAATTTTTGAAGTGAAAACTTCTTTAGCGGCGTTGTACACTTTTTTTTATGAGTAAAAACTGTTAAACTCGCGTTTGGTTAAACACGTGGGCTGATCGCATCATGGCACACAATAAAATTGGAAAGGTTGTTGACTTTAAATATTATATTGGACGAAACATAGTAATATTTTATTTTACCGTATTATAATAATAAGTCTCTATCTAGGACGTCCACGTGGCAGCTTTATTGCGAAGAAAATGCATTTTTTTTACAATAGATGTCGCTAGGTGCGCTTAAACGTGATTCATGTAAGTTGGTTTTTCTGAGAGATAAACTTTTTAATGTAATATAAATTGCCATGTTTGTGTACGATAACGCAATAAGTAAATATTGTATTCTACCATATACATGATAGTACTTTTATACTGATAATTAAAGCAATTCGTGCAAAATTATTCCCTAACCATTCGAAAATATCAAAAACGCACAACGTTAATATTCAAGTTTTCACTTCTGCCGGCACTCCCGGAGTGCAACCCGTCGTTTTTTTATGTATTATAATATATAGGATATTAATTATTCCGGTAGTTAATAGTGCATTAGGTTCTCTCTTACTTTACGAACACAGATTAATTAATTTGAACTTGTGGCAATGTTGTAGATAGGTAAAAAAAAATATTTGTATCTCATAGCCAAGAACTTTAAAGATTTGCCATCTATACATAATACTAACTGGATATTGCAATGGTAACAGTCCTGCCTTCTGCTTCAATGGTCTTGGATTCGAATGCCGGTAGAGGCATGCATTTCTTTATTTGTATTTGAACCAAGTGTTTAGTTTCCATAGTACAAGCTGCAGTAGCCCTGATGCTGTAGTATTTTGCTGCGTTAGGCTATTTTTCTACCTTTTGTTTACAAATGTTTAGCTAATGAAATTTAATTCTTTCTGTGCTTAGCTTGAGACAAATTAATTATTTTGTCTGAAGTGACCACAGACTTAATTTCTCTTATCTTTTAATAATCCTGAAAATAAAAATCTTAGTCGCAGCTATAGACAAGTTGATCAGTTATTCCAAGAAGCCCTCAATGGAAGTCGGGACTTGCTTTTTTTTAAATAGTTACTTATTTAAACGGATATGTAGACTAGACGAATGATTAACGTGAACTAAGGCGCCCGTGCGTCGTCGGGTCGGTTTCCGGTCATTGCAGACACTGAATTAATAATTTCATATACAAGGTATTGATTTCATCAGGACATGGGAGTAGTCACCCATCCTATGGCCGACCAATTGCGGAAGTTGCAAATGTTAATGCTCCATAGACATAGTGTTTATTTAATACTGCATTTCTTGCATTTTAGACCGTGAGCGAAAGAAAAACAGATTTTGCTAACTTTTCCGCGCAGATAATAAAAAGCTATAGTTTCCAGAAAAAATGGACTAAAAGTTGGAAGTCACAACTAGAGGAATAAATTTTTGTAATTATTTGTCCTAGAGTTACACAAAAAAATTAAAATGTCTCGGTCATTTCTTATCAGATCATCAAAGACAACTAAAGCAGATAAAAATATATCACCAAAATAGATCAATTTTTTTAAAGTTACGCATTGGGATACCATTTCGAGGTCGGTTAAAAAACGGCATAGGTGGTTGCGATACTTCAGATTTCAATAATCTAACTGATACAAATATGGCGTCTAATTTGAATATTCGCAATTTGATTCAAAGTGGTTTCATCGCGGCCATTTTGCATCTTCAATATCTAGGCAATATAGAATAGACCAATCTCTGAGTTTATTGATACAGGTTTGAACTCAGTTAAGTGGAGCAGATAATTTTAACTAAGCCAAGAAAGCTTAGGCGTACAAATTATTACGTTAGCATATACTTTAAACATATAATAAAATAATCCCGAGTGGGTTATATAGTGCACCCTTCTTGTTTTGATACTTGCAACATGTTTTTTTTTTAAAGCGGAAGTCAACAACAAGAAAGTCAAGTTCAATGCTTTAAATGAAAATTAACTGGTCTAATTAGCTTTCGACTATATTAATAGCACAATTAACAATAATATTAAAAACAAGGTTAAATGAATTAGGAAAATATTTTTTTGCAAATGAATTTCCTTTCGTTGCAATGTTGCATGCTACATAATAATAACACTGGATTCTAAAATTTTTAAACTGAAACAGTTGAAAAAAAAAACTATCTATCCTTAACTACCTCAGTATAAAAAGAAGAAGTCACATATGTCTTTCTTAAATTTTCACGCATACCACTCATTAAATTAACGCGAGGTTATTGAAATTAAGGAACATTCAAATTTCAATGAAGAAGATGATTGGTATATACCACCAGCTTGGGAACCCATTATTCAATATATAAAATCCCAACCCCGAACAAATACTGCAAGACCAACAGTTACAGATAAGTTCTTTTTGTTTCTATGATTTAACGTAAAAAGGAGTCAAAAAGCCTCTCTGAGTTTGTTTCGTCAGTTCTTCTTAGAAAGATCTCCCAATTATGAAGTGGTGGTAGTTTACGGTAGTTAGGATCAAATAAATAAACACAAAATTTAAAAAGAATTAATGGAGTTAATTAATTATAGTAGCTAATAAATTCATATATAGTCAATAACATGTCAATAATCTTTCAATGAAATATCCGTTCAATAAAAGTCATTCGAAGGTAGCTCGGCAAAAGTAAAAATCAATAATTCTGACGACGTAGCCCGAAAAACTGCATTTTTTTAAATACAAACATTACATTATTCTCAGTATTGCAAAACTATGATGAAAAAATAATAGAAATTTAAGTATTAGCACTAAATTCACCCTTAGACACGGTACACGCGGCGTTTGCCCTACTGACAGGCGCCAGATATGAAAACAAAGTCAGGATATGCAAACGAGTGAATAGTGTATTTCGAGACGATGACTACACGGCTCGTGCCTATTCAGACTACACGAGTTGACTGTAAATCGACTACGTAGGTACTATCACGACAAATGTCAGTCTGTCAGTAATATTTTTTATTTTCTATGACGACCTGCTGGTCGCTACTCTGTCCCGCCTGATGTTGGATGTCAGATGAATCCAGGGCAGCAATTCTATCAATTGTTGTTTGTGGACACAGTTCTTGTTACTTAAAGAAAATCTATTTTTATTTTCATTTTTCATCTGTTTTTATTATGTACTTATTCGTATTTTGTGTCATAGTAATCTGCCTTAAAAAGCAAATACTAATCTTTGTCGGCCACCTTACTCGTTGTAGGATGTAGAAATAGACTTAATTGACCGCAATTTTTTATTATGTGGATACTGGTAGATACTCCTCCTTTACCTTCTATAGGTTTAACACAATGAAGAGCACCATAGCTTGAAAGAATTTTCGCCGAGAGAATATGACAATGGACTTAATGTAACGGCATAAGTGATAATCAGCATTTGATCACCGGTAATTAAGAATGCAATTTCACCATAATAACAATCTTATCGACTAAGGACTGTTTGCAATGCAATATGCAGTGCCCACGCCAATGCAGGTAGTAAATAGACATGGTCTTGCTTGAAATTATAACAGAAACATAATTGGAGCTTGTTTCTTTAATAAATATACATACGTAGTATACAAATCTTGATATTTTTTTACTTGTTTAATTTCATAGTAAATAACCACGACTACTCTATGGTTAACAAAAATAAACATTTCACTAAAGAAAGTAGTGTGCTTTCGAATTCACAGATCTCTGTAATAGCTGCAGTTAAAATGTCATCTATTTCCGTCTAACGTAAACACAAGTCAGGCCGACAGATAAAGGGACGTCTTCTTCTCTACACATTTTTATTTTCCTACTTATATTTGGTTAAATGGGTTGGCTTACGTCACTTTCCTAGTGCGATGAGAAACTTTATAACAAAGGTTTCCCTAACACTTTCACATTAAATTGTAACTAGCCGATTGGAGAATTTCATATTTGAAACTCATTGAAATACAGGTCATATATGAACTCATAGCATTGGAATCAAACAAATGGCATGAACAAAATAAAAACAAAACATATTACCAAGAAGGTTGAATTTTAACCGTAAAAACAAGTGACTAATGAGGAAACAACCGTCGCTAATCGTTATTATTCAAAATCTAAAAAAAAGGTCGAAATACATTTAAAATTTCGAACATCCACTGTTCACTGACACGGTCACAGATTAAAAAAACTAAATCGGAGAGCGATAAACTTCGTATTGGAATTTAGAACTGTCAATAAATTCGAAATATCGGAGCATTCGTTATTTCGAAAATCGGACGCGGCCATGCGTAGAGCGCTCCGCGCCGCGAGCGCAACCACTCGAGACTGATCGGAGTCGGACTAGCTGGCTCGACGCATCCATCATTGTTCACCTTTACTTTCCGTCCTGCTCGCTCAATAAGAGCTTTAAGCTCAAAGAAAGGGACAAACGACACGCAATTTTCCTGACTCGTCATGAAGTTATTTCACAAGCTTATCCAAGGACAATTTACAAAACATAACTGAATAAATAAAAAGCAACTTGTGAAATGACATTCATTTACTTATACGGCAGTTATGGTACAGCAGATGTTCGGAAATCTTATTTTTAGACGTTGCTATTATTGAAGTGTGTTTTATGGGAGCATTTATTTTGGGCAGCAATTAATGTTTAAAGTAGACGTGGGTAGTGAGTGAGAATAGGGCAGAAATAGTTTTAGAAACTCCTATCAAGAAATCTTTACATATGGAGTTAATCGAGACGTGGGTAGTAAGTGGGAATAGAGCAGAAAACAAAGTAGAGTCTGTGCGGAAAGAGAATGGGCGTGGCGAAAAACGGAACTAACATTAAGATTTTTATTTGGCAATCAAACCCAGCAATCTGTAAAACGTCAAAGTTTTGTATTGATACGGATTTGTTTGTTGTTGTGATTTCTTGGAGTTTTTTGTATTTACTCATGTCTAAAAGGGGTAAAACCAGTTAAAACCTTACAAATACGGTAGAAAAGCACTACAGCGTCCTCCAATCTAAATCCCATTCTCTTTCCGCACAGACTCTATCAACTTTATTAAATCCATTTTCATTATTAATTACTATACGATTTTGATGGTTTAGATCCGAATTTGCTTCCCGCAGGACACAAGGATCTTATTTCTGTAATTTTCTTAACTTAAATTGGTATTTTACTTAAAAATTATAACAGTTAGAAAAATCCCGCGCGCTCCATAACTTGCGTTTCCTTCTTACAAAATATATACAATTTAATTTTTTTATTTGTATAACGATAGCTTATACTTGTATGAATGTCTTCAGGTTTCCTTTTCGTTGTTATATTCTTCTAGTAGATAACGGTATTATATAATTATTCATAATGTGAAACGGAAAAAAAATACAGGATGTGGTAAACGGAAAATCTTTTCCTTATTTCTGTCAGTCGTCATTTCGTTTCCGTCATATTCAATTAAGACCAATGTTATTGCACATTAATGTCTAATATTACAATAGTCACCACTGTTTAATAATGCATTTGATTTTTTGGTAGGATGACAGTTGTAACAGAATTCAGAACGATCTCTTATTATACCAGGATGTAGCGATTTTATCTATTACTCGTTTTGTCTTGTGCTTGAATAGGGATGATGACTATTTTTCTTCGTTTATCAGGTAGATTATCAAAAAGTGTTGGACACGTATTTTTTCTTTTTTCATATAATATAAACATTGCAGAGATATATTCATTTGAAAAGTCGCATGACGTCACGTTTGAGTTTTAAGTGAAAATTCACTACTACATTCAAACTAAAGCAATTACAATTATGGACACGAAGGCATTTACATCAATTCAATATCACTATTAATAATAGGTTAGGTTAGTTAACACCACATTTACCATATCTAGAACGAACAGTAAGAACGTTTGAATTTTACTAAATATATAACATAAACAAACAATATAATTTAAAAAAAAACATTTTCAATGATTTGAATCGTAAATTAGTTGACTTTTATACCATACTAGCGGCCGCCCGCGACTTCGTCCGCGTGGAATTTTGATTGTCCTAAGCTTTCTCTTCTCTTTTGTTGGTTAAAAATTGCTTTATGATATTCTGAATTTAGAACTTTTGGGAAACTATCTAAATTGGCAGGGCTTGAAGTATATTGAGTTTTATATTGAGTAAGTATACTTTTGCAACTTTTTTCACCTTTTTCATGGCTGGAAGAGCTCTTCATAGAGATAAAACTTACATCTAAAAACCGTTATTAGTTTTCCACTTGTTTATGATATATGCATAAAGTAAAAATGTTTTTTTTTAGTTTTTTTAATTACTTGTTTGAATTTAGCAAATTAAAAAAAAAGTTAAATAATGGAGATACTTTAAAGAATTTCTTTATAAACGACATTAACCGTTTTACCGCCTTGTGCTAGAATAAAAAGGTTGTCTGGGCTGCTTACTCGTGAGCAAGCCACATACAGTTGACCATGGGAAAAACAATCAGATCTTAAGTCGACACCAGCAGTCCTGAGAGTCTGACCTTGGGATTTGTTTATAGTCATGGCGAAGCAAACGGCTACTGGAAACTGTGTGCGCTTAAATTCAAATGGAAAGTTATTAGGGATGAGTGGGATTCGTGGAATAAATACAGTTTCCCCTGAGCCACATCCAGTAAGAATCTGAGCTTGGATTAAATTTCTTTGTAGAGCAGTTACTTTTAGTCGTGTACCATTGCATAATTTTGGAGGAGTAAGGTTACGCAGCAGCATTATTGGTACACCTATTTTAAGCACAATTATGTGCGCAGGAAGACCACTTGCAGAAAGCGAACTCAGAAACTCAACAGGATAATGTGTAGCATCGTCGTGGTTGAGAACGCTATTATAAGACGTATAAACGACGTCATCCCCAATCACTTCAGATAAAATTTTTTGATTTATTGCAGCAGCTTGGTCATTTCTGGGAGTGAGTATCGCACGTTCACATAACCAAGAATTTTCCTGATATGTTATATGTGATAGGTCACCGAATACAGAATTTATAAGTTCATCTTCTGAAGAAACTATTCGGCAAACTGTTTCTGGAAGCGTCACCTTACCATGTTCTTCAGAAAGAGTACCTTCTCCAAGTTTCAAAAGAATGTCTGAGAATTCGTGGGCATGTAAATTACCACCTAGTTGTGCTCGCATATTGATCGTCAATTGCAGCTTTTTCATTAGAGGCCAGAGGTGGGAACGCTTTAATGAAGCTCTAATTTCATCGGCTCTAGTTCCTCGACTTATAACTGGAAGTGTTTGCCTAAAATCACCAGAAAAAAGCAGTGTGACGTTGCCCATTGGCCTTTCATCTCGCCGAATATCACGTAGGGTTCTGTCCACAGCTTCGACGGCTTTTTTATTTGCCATTGTACACTCATCCCAAACGATCAGACAGCAATCTTGTAACACTTTCGCCTTATCACAGTTCCTTGTGATAGAGCATGTTGGTGACTCATTACTGTCTAAATCGATTGGGATTTTAAACATCGTGTGGGCCGTCTTTCCGCCAGGAAGTAATGTGGCTGCGATTCCCGAGGAAGCCACTGCTAGTGCAATCTTACCTTGCCGCCTAATCTCAGCCAGTATTGCTGTTATCAAAAAAGTCTTTCCCGTTCCACCTGGAGCGTCCAAGAAAAATAAATTCCCTTCATTATTATTTACGCTTTGGATGACTACATCGAATATATTTCTTTGTTCTACAGTAAAACAACCAATCTGATCATTTACAGTGGTGGTTAACGCAGCAATATTGTAGTTCGTCTCGGAATTATATTCACGATTTACCCGTGGTTGATTGGGTAGAGTTTGAGGATTAGGCAGGCCGTAGTCGGTCAAGGAATTACCCCCAATCGAAAATACTATGTCTTGTATACATAAAAGTGAACTATTTATAACTCTATCGTCAGTTGGATCTATTTGCTGGTCTGAATTGCGTTGAAGCAAGCGTAGAAAGTCCTCGGATAATTGTGTCTTATATTTTTGCCACAGCGTTAGAGCATCCGATAGACCACAGAACACTAACATCACTGCAAACAAATGACGTAAACGTTTGGGACTATCACTGACACAGGCTTCTTCGAGGGTGTTATCCCAGTGTTGATCTCCTTCAAGAAGATTAAGTGCCCGGCAAGCCGCTTGAAATGTTGCGTATTGGACGCCATTAACTGTTTTTAAATAGGCAAAAGAAGTTGGCCCCCGAACTGTATGCAACAACATGCGTAAATAATAGCATTCGCTATTGTTAGGATGAACAGTATATACTCGCCCTAGTGCAGCATCTCTATAAACTCCTGGAAATCCTTCCACTGGTTGACCGCGTCTTCGTCGATTAAAAACACGTCTTTGCATGTCAAAAGTGTAATAGGACGGTACTTCATCGTAGGTTAGCGTTTTAGCAAAATCATCTTCTTGACAAAGCTTAAAAAATGCCAAAAGTTTAGTTTGCCGAGGATTTTCTACACGTTCTCTTACATTTTCAGGATCAAAATACACTCGCTGGCCGTTTTCTAAATGAACATCCAAGTGTGTGACCGTGGGATGACGTTCGTGGATAGAAAATCCTAATATTCGCCATATAGCTTCAGAAGTACTTATGTAGCGTCCAGTTTGGTATCTGGTGACTTCATCTCGGTCGGTTCCCTGTAGAGCAAATGTCGCTTGGTCACTCCCTTTGTTAACATATTTACAAATGTATTTTATTGCCGATACACTATTACACACTTCGACATTTATATGTGCACCAAAGGTTTTGGAAAGTAAGGGCGAATAAGGAACAACCCACATATTACTAATTATTATTTCTTGTCCTTGTACTCTACTTTGTGCAGTAAACCCTCCAAGCTCTGGAGAACGACGTCGGTACAGCGGATATCCGTTCTCGCCTGTTACTGTGTGCTCTGTCAGCGCACGGGGATACCTTTTCGTGCAACGTCCATCTTTCATGCAGGGAGAATTTCTATTTATGGTACCACAGGGGCCATGCACCATATGCGTTTTGACAACTTCATAAAGTACTGGATCTTCGTTGGGATTCGGGAATTCAGCGCTTATCAACGTGTCTACATTGTTGGGACGAATTTTTTCCTGCAGCCATAGAAGGATATGTGCGTGCGGAAGGCCGCGCTTTTGCCATTCGACACTGTACATGAAGCATAATGAAGAACCAAAAACATTCTCTTTAGTCAGCAAGTCCATCAACAATTTTAATTTCAAGTGAAAGACTCTTGCGACTACATCGTGCCGATCATAAGAGGCCTGACCTGCCAAAAGTTCTTGTTTTATTTCATCCCATTTTGGATTCGTAGTAAA